TCCCCCGCCCCAGGAAGCATCAGGGTCAGGATTCAAATTCAAGCCGTTGGCTCCTGAGTCTGTTTTTAACCACTACCTTGTCTTCCCCATCATTCAGAATTCTCATGCCTTATTGCTTTCACTCAAATTTGGGGCGGGGTGGGGGGGGTGGCTAACCAGTTCAATAACTTCCCTCGGTCATATGACTGATGATAAAAGACGATAACAAAGGCCAACAATCAGGGGACACTATGTGTTAGGCTCTATTCAAAACCATTAAATATAAAATTGCTCACGTCATACAGAAACACTGTGGGGGAAATGAGGCTTGGAGAGTTTAAGTAATGAGACCAAGGTCACTCAACTAGCGAGCATGGAAGCCTACACTTGAACCCAGGTTTCTTGATGCCAGATTTCATAACCTTGGCCACTAGTCTATGGAAGGTTTATATTTTTGGTCCTTTGGTCAGGCTTAGGTCTCTCTCAGGAAACCTTTCATTATGCTAGGGGTTTATGACACCAGGCCAAGGGTGCTAGGTGCCCAATATTTCCCCAAACTGATGCATCAACTGGCTGGTTTCTTTGAAATCCAGTGTCAGATGACACCATGAGACAGGAGGACTGGCTGGATTCTGATCTGTGTAACAGAAGGCCATGATAAACTGGCTTTGAGAAGAAAGAAAACACCCATGTTATATGCAGCATAGAACTAAGGTGTCATACAACATGCAGGGCACGTCAATGGAGTCCAAGCAAGATGCCAAGTGAGGAGCATAATATTGCCACCTTAGAGCGGGAGAAATTAAATAACACCCAAATTAAGGAAGTGCCATGTCAAATGAGACAACGTGGTGGGGAGGGAGCACGTGGCTATTTGTGAACCATGAAGTTCAGTGCACGTTCAGTGGTGGGGGTCAATGAATGTCTCACAATCGGCATAACTTTAATCCTTCTGATTCTGAACTCTAACCATTTCACCCCACCCACCCCTCACTGTTCCTCTCAGTCACCCATCTCAGGAATGGCCTCACTGTCTACCCAAGTTCTCCATTCAAAAATAGTTACTCTTTTTCTTTTCTATTTTTCCTTTCCTGCAGTTTTATTTGCAAAATCTGGCAACTCTACCAACCACCCACATGGTCCCCTGAGTTACTCTCCGAATGGCTCTTGGTTTGCTTCCTCCACTCACTCAGCACAATGTTGAAGTGTCTAGTGGTATGTCTGCCTATTAATGTCTGTGTCCCCACCGACACTCTCCGTTCCTTAAGGGCAGGGCCTATGTTTATTTTATTCATCTATTTATACTCAATAATTAGCACAGTGCCTAGCATATCACGGAAGCTCAATAAGTATTCAACAAATGAATAGACATGGATTATGTTAGCTCAAGCATCCTCCTTTCTTAAAACACTTCTTCAAGGTAACGTGGCAAGTTTTCACTTACAGAAAGTACACTTCACAGACCAAAGCAGTCGAGTATGTAATCATAATCCATTTAGCCCAGTAATTAGACCTTAATGTGATGAAATTCAGCTGACGGTGCAGAAGAGGCGAGGTGTTGAGTAATGCAAACACCACCTTGCCACCTTTCCAGATGATGAAACCACGCGCAAAATAAAACAGGAGGAAAGCAAGGATGAAGAGCAGCATAAGGGGGAACCCACAGGAGCAGGAAGTTCAGGTCAGAAGGTCAGGAGGGAAGAAAAGTAAAGACTGAGGCTAGTGAAATAGAAAACAGAATAATCCCCGGCAAGGGGATGCCAGGAAGAAGCCGAGAGCACGGGGCCGAAGCAAAGACTACAGAGAGAGACACTTTGGACAATCAAAGGGTCATTTAAAAAAGCAAAATAAATAATAAACCTGCGCCGGGGTCCTGATACATGTAACCGACACATCCAACGTGGTCGGCAAGGTCAGCGAAGGAGGAGCTAAGAGATGGAGAAAATCATCAAGGCGGAGAGTTTTGTGTTCAGAGTCTGATTTGCTTATTTTTAAAAGGAAGGTGAGCACAGATGTTCAATGACATCAATTCCCCAGGAGTGGCTGGTGCCTATTTGCATACCCTCAAATAAAAATAAAGAGAACTCGCTAAATCCCTGCCCTATTTAACTGTGGCTTTTAAGACAGAGCAAAAGACATGCTCTCCCTGAGCAGTGATGGCATAGAATTTAGGATCCAATAGTCAGTCTTGCTTTTGAAATGGTCTTGTCATTTCCTGATGGATGTGGGGTTGTTGGGTTGTATCTGTGGTCGAGGGAGAATTAGTTTAATGACAAATTCACTCTGAAGAACACATTCATCAAGGGCTTGCTACGGAGGATCTATGACGCAACGACTTTGTCCTGGCTTGTAATGTACTTGTAATGCTATAGGAAGTTCTTCAAGCGAATGTATATACTGCGTGGGC